CAAACCCAAGGGCTGCAGGAACTATCACCCTCCCTACAGTCACGCCGAACGCTACCCCCACGGCCACCAGTAAGCGGGAGCCCTCCGCTGTTCCCTCCCCCTGAAACACCCCAGCAGGCTCTCTCTCCAAGGGCCTCAGGAGGAATGTGCAACGTTCAACGGCTCAGGAGGGAAACGGAGCAGGCTAGATCCGCATCCCAAACCCCCTTTACTCCAACAGCTCCACATCCTGGAATCTGCCCTCCAGTCGGAATGCAAGAAGCGTGCAAACACACAGAACAGGGATGTCTATTACACCACTGTGTCCCGGCAAAAACCAAGCTGCTCAAAGCCCATCCACAAGGGGTCTGTTCAATAACTAACGCCTTCAGGCACTGGGGTATTATTCAGCTGTTTAAAGAGTAGGGTTCAGTCAACACATTCTGAAATGGGAAAGTATCCAGATCTATTTTTAATTTATGTGTGAAATTCTTTGTTTGATCATCACTGTTGTTAAAAGACTATGTCTACACATGCGGATTCATTTGTTTATTCCATGACTGTTTGCAGAGCAAACAAGTGAAGACAGATAGGGTTTCTGCCTTCTTGGAGCATAAAATCTAGAGGCAGAGGAGGGTCAGGGTAACAACTCCACCACAACATGTAACAAGAACAGTAACAATCAGCATACTGAGCATTGACCACGTGCCAGGTCCCTCATCCTTTACTCTGCACAGCAACCCTCAGAAGGAAGATCTGTGATTCACCTCTGGTCACTAACGAGCAAACTGGGGCTCAGAGAGGTTAAATCACCTGCCCAGGGTCACACAGCCGATAAGTAGCAAAACCAAGATTCAATGCCTTCCATGTGGCTCCAGAGTGAACATAAAAATAACTTAGATAATTAGCAGAATGTGACAAGGGCTGGTGCGGGAAGACTCACTTGTCACTCAAAATAATATCATTTTGCCATCTTTGAAGTATGTGGTGTGTTACCTATTACTTTCACAATACAAATATATATATATAGCATTCATATGTGTATCACTTCTGACTTAGTGATATAAATATCCCAAGATCACGCTTTGGGGACATAATTTATATTCTTAATAGAGACAAGGCTATAGAGCATTTCAAAGGTCATCTAACTGAGCAATTAACTGATGGAGCAGTGATATGAAGCAGAAGTCAATCCATGATCATTTGCACACCTGTCTCCCTTGGCTTCCCTGCCACGTTTTCCTCCCATCCGATTGACCAGATTCCTGAGGAGTGGATTCCTGAGGGCAGAGGCTCTTTTGAATTGCCCACATCCCACATATGATGCTCAATAAAATATTCATCACATTGAAGGGAAAAACAATGTGTGTATGTGTGTGCACACGCACATGTCCCCCTCAAATGAAACAGTGTGTCCTTTTAAATGATAGGAGTTTGAGTAGTGGGAGTGGATAGGACTCCCAGCGCCTCAGCTTCATAAACTGCAAGATCAACTGTCCCCCAAACAGGCATCACCCAGGTTTGTTGTGAAAAATCAAAAAAAAGAACAAAGAGTTTGCCCAGAGCCTGGCACACGAGGGGTTCAGTGAACAGTGGGTATTCTGATGTGGTCTGTGCTTTACTTATATTCTGTCCAACAATCCCATTTTCCAGAGTATGAAACTGAGGTTTTAAGAGGGAAGTGGTTTGTCTGGGGTCACAGTCCTATCTGCCTACGTGAGTGGGGTAAGGAATACTGAACTCCTAGCCAGAGATCTTCCTGCCCTCTTTTTTTTTTTTTAATTTATTCATTTGAGAGAGAGAGCAAGAGCAAGAGCACGAGTCGGGGGAGGTGCAGAGGGAGAGGGAAAAGCAGGCTCCAAGCTGAGCGGGGAGCCCCACGTGGGGCTTGATCCCAGGTCCTGGGATCATGACCTGAGCTGAAGGCAGACACTTAACCAACTGAGCCACCCAGGCTCCCCCTTCCTGCCCTCTTTTATAAACCTGGCAAAACCTTCCTGCTTGGGTATTTAGAGAGTGGCAGGGGGTGTAAAGAGAATGTTTATCCCGATGGTCTTTCATTCATTCAAGTGTGCTGGGCATACCAATTAGCATGCAATTCTCCAGTTGAGCTATGTCTTCGCCTGGGCTGCTCCTTCTGCCTGGAATGTCCTCCCCTTGCCTCCTATTCATCCTTCAAGACTCAGCTCAAGTGTCACCTGTGGCTGCCCTGCCCCCCCACCCCACCCCCACACACACCAGGTTGGGAGAGGCACTCCCTGCCTGAACAACATCCTGAAGATAAGCCAAAATGATAATTATCACGCCCATGACTTAGTGAGCGCAGACCGGTACACACACTCTACCTGGTACTTCCATGTACTGCTTCCCTGAATTCACGTAACAACCCTCTTAACGAGGGGAGTAGCCTATCGTGAGCCCATTTTACAGATGAGAAAGTTGAGTCTCAAACCAAGTACGATGCCTGAGACCAAGCCAGGAAAGGCAGGGCCAGGGTATGCCCCCAGTAATTCCCCCCACCCCGCCCCGCCCCGGGCTCCTTCCTTTCTATCCCTGTCTCCTCCTCAAAGCCTCCCTGGACTTAGCCTGCTGCATGCTGATTCAGCCTCACCACCCTGAGCCTTCTCTACTCCACCTCACAGATTCCAAACATCCACAAGCTGCAAGCTGGAAGCAAGTTCAAATCCCTGCTCTGCCACGGTGACGGGAAAAGACCTTGCCCCATTACAGAGTCCTGAGTCCGGTGGAATGGGAATAATGAGCCCCACTCCCTCACACGGGAAGGTGGCGAGTCCAAGTGTGAAGTCCCAAGGATGTGGATGTTTATAACCATCCCTGGGCAGGTAGCGCAGGCGCGCTCAGCAAGGTCTGCTGAATTGGACAGAATACTGGCACGATCTTCAGGCCACCTCCCCTGGGGGGGGTCCCTCTTCCCGAGAGACTGCTCTGCGTCCAGGGTCTTCAACTGCGTGCCTCTCTAAATAGCATACTGACCAACGTCTATATGCAAGTTCAGACAACCACCTCTCATCTGGATTTTTCTAGCAGCTCCTCGCTGGCCTCTGAGCCTCCTCCTAAGAGCAAGACAAGCTTCCCAAAACACACATCTGACCCTCTCCCACAGAGAAACTTCCACAGCACCCCACAGCCCTGGAATAAAGTCCAAACCCCTGCGAATGGTTGACCTGGCCCTGACCAGCACCTCCGCCAACACCCCACGCTCCCTCCTGCGTTCAGGCCGTTCTGTTCCCTTTTTCTGGCCCACAACACCATCCTCTTCCCGCTGGCAAGGTCTCCAAGAAACTAACCCCCCTGGCCCCCACCCCTCCCCCTGCCAGAAGGGAGGCATCACCCCCTCTGCCCATTATCAGAGCTCTCCCCTCTAGACAATTGCCTCCTTCACCAGGCTTTACCCCTCAACATTGTGACTGCTGGCCCCCTCTTTGACACAATGTCTTGAAATATTTATTGCATGGCATGCATGCATGCATGAATGAAGCACATTTAAAATATTCTTCAGGGGTTCCTTTTCTGAATTGGTCAGAGATGTATTCTGGAGATGCCGTGAGGGAAGATATGCTCAAGCCCACACAGTGGGCTGTTCCATTCTCCTGTCAAGGTCAGCCTTGAATAAAAGCCCCCAGGACCTCCAAGTGGGGGTGGGGCTGTAGGGGGGGGTCATCCACCCTCAGAATCTGGGGTGAGGGCTGAAACCCCAACATCAAGAATCAGCACAGCTGCCTCAGTGGACTGCTGGAATGTAATGCCAGGAGGACAGGTCCTACAATGCCCTGTGTCGGCCACATAGTAGGTGCTCAAGACACACGCTGGTTGATGAAAGGAGTGTGCTCACGCGCCCAGACTCCGTAGTGGAACCCTGCACTTGTCTCAGTTAACTGCACCCTCGTCAAGCACACGAATCCTTTAAAAACGATTCCCCCTAGAACCACCAAGCCTGGGGCTAGTGTCTGCACCACTTCCTTGGGAACTGTCCCAGGGAGGAGATGCCAGTGTCTAGAGGTGAACACATGTTTGTCCAGGAGCCTCCAGGGATTAGGAAAAGGAAAGCTGAGCCAAGGGAGAAGCCTTGTCCAAATGCCCTGGTTACTGATTAGCCAAACCCCAGAGCTTCTCTCCGCAAGGAGGATCAGAGGGGCCATAAACCCCTCTGGAGGAAAGATCGAGTTAAATGTCCCTCTAATCCTGCAGTTTAAAAAGACAGCAAGTTGCCTTTCTGGAGCTTCCCGGGAGACCGTAAGGGAAGTGCAGGGGATGGGACCTGGGAAAGAAGGGGCCATAGAATGAGGGCCCACTAATATTTACAGAGCCCCTACCTGTTTCATACCTATCACACCTATTAACCCAGCCAGCCACTCGGAGGAGGGAGCACTTTGACCCCCAATCCCACCCCGTTTTGCCCCGAGGGGAGACCGGGCTCCGAGGGGCTAAGTGTTTTGCCCAAGGCCACAAAGAAGCTGCAAAGAAAAGCTCTTTCTTTGTGCAACAGGTACAGCCCTTTCCCTTCCAAAAGGTAATGGCTGCTCCCGGCTAGAGAAAGTTCACTCCCGGGCGGCAGGAAGACCAGGCCACCTAAGGCGGGGCGCGGAGGTCACACACCCCGATACAGGACGTGAGCAGGGTTTCAGGGCGCGGCGCCCCGGCTCCGAAGCGAGTGTGTGCCAGGAGGGTGTGGAAAGATCGGGGCTCGGGTGGGGGTCAGCAGGCTACTTCCCCTCCCGAGGGCCCCGCCTGTGGCCCGGAGCGGCGCCGCCAGCGGGATGAGGGCCATCCGAGCCTGCCCGGGAGCAGGGGGACCGAGCCTTAATCCCATCAGGGCGTCTCAGCCCTGGGGAGGCGCGTGGAGGGGAGCGCAGGCCCGGCGGGGAGGGAGCGTCCGGAGCCCCGGAGACCCGGCGCCCGAGGGGCCCCGCGCGCTGCTCTCTCCGCCACCCCCGCTGCCCGCAGGATCATCTCGCCCCGGGCTCGGCCTCGCCGGGCACCCCCCCCTTCCCAGTGCCCACCTCCGGGCCTCCAACCCGCACGGACGTCCAGATCCTAGCGGCTCCAGGCTGGGTACCCGATCTCCGGCGATCCCCCAGCTCCCGGCCACCAGATTTCCTCTCGGAATCCACTGCCAAGGCTCGGACAAGCGTGGGGGGACAGGGAGGTGGGAGGTGGGGATCAACTAGCTCCCAGTCTCCAATCACCGACCCCCGCCACCCCCAGGCTGGAGATCGAGTGGGACCTCAGGCCGCCAGTGCCCGATCCACTCCTAGGATCGACTCCCAAGTCTTCAGCCTGGTGGTGCGGGATCCATTGGCTACCCTGTGCGGGATCTTCCCGCGGGATCCACTCCCAAGTCTCGGGAGACACATCCCCAGGCTCCCAAATCGGGATTCCCCCCTCCACGCAGACCCAGAGCCGGGGGAGATCCACCGGGTCCCCACCTCTTCCCCGGCCAACTTTGCCAACTTTTCTCCCGGGGCCTCAGCCGAGCAGAAACTTGGCGGCCATCGCCCCCCGCCGCCTCCCCAGCCCCTTCGCGGGCCGGGCACTGGGGGCAGACAGCCCGCCCCCACAGCCGGCGGCCGCCGCACAACCTACCCTGCAGCCGCCGCCGCCTGCCCGCGCCGCGCCGCCACCTGCCCGCAGCCCGTGGCACCTGCCCGCGCCGCCGCGGCCCAGCGCAGCCTAGCCTGCTGGGGGCGGGGCCTCGGGCGGGGAAGCGCCCCCGTCGCCATGGGAACGGCGGCCGGCGGCGCCTGCGCGGAAGGGCCCGGGGCGGAGCGCGGCCGGCCCGACCCGCGAGCACCCGCAGGCTCCTAGGCCCGGGGACTCTCCGGCGGGTCAGAGGTCGCGAGCGCGGCGGGGACACTCCTCCCGGAAGCGCTCCGCCCCTGCGAGTCCGACCCCGCAGCGCGCGACTCGGAACGTGCGCGTGGTGCCGGTCCGCGTTCTAAGGACCACCCCCCAGGCCTCGGCCGGGATCCGCCGGCAGCGGGCGCCGGCCCGCCGTCGGGCCTGCGCTCCCGAGAGCCTAAGGCAGCCGGGGAACTCCGGAGGCGCTGGGTAAAGCCTCGCCCGTGGAATCGAGCCGGCTGCGGGCGCTCGGCCGGGAACAGGCGGGATTTGCGCGGGACGCTGGCGCCCCCTCGCGGCGGGCAGGGGCACTGCACGGCGGGGCTCGCGGGCGTGGCGGGAAGCTGTTCACTGCACTGGGGGCTGGTGCCTACCGTGTGGGACGCTCCTGCCACTGTGTTGTGGTGGGGGGCCAGGGGTATGAAGACTTTGGGACAAGTTGAGAGACTCGTAGGAATCCGCCCCTAAACAAGAAAATGCCTGTGTTGCTATCTTTCACTCATTTCATGCCATCTTTATTTAGCACCTACTGTATGCTGGGCACCCAGTGGTAAAGCAGCTAGCAATATCCGGGCTCTCGTGGAACATACAGGCACTTACAAAATAATTGCACAAGTAAATTGAATTGCATTGGAGACACGGCTTCCTAAGGAAAGGCACTGGGCATGAATAACTGGCGGTCCTAAAATCCTGTGCATTTATTCTGAGTCAGTTAGACCTCAAAAAAGGTAAAGAGAGAGAAAACATCACACTGGCTTTGGGACAATTGGTGAGAAGCTCTCTTGCCTCATCTTTCTCTTGGTTTGTTGGTGTCTTTGTGTAAGGGAGGGTACCCCTGTTGCTGGAGACACACGATATCCGTTGTTTGTACAACAGTCTTTTTTTTTTTTTTAAGATTTTATTTATTTATTTGACAGAGAGAGAGACACAGTGAGAGAGGGAACACAAGCAGGGGGAGTGGGAGAGGGAGAAGCAGGCTCCCCGCAGAGCAGGGAGCCCGATGTGGGCCCGTGACCTGAGCTGAAGGCAGACGCTTAACGACTGAGCCACCCAGGCGCCCTGTACAACAGTCCTTTTGAATTGAGGACCACCACCCCCCATTTTACCAAGGAGCAGCCTAAGGCTCCCTAATTGACTCAAAAGGTGAAGTAGAGGCCTCATGCCATCTTACACCCTAGGATAGTCTCCTTTAGCATCAGGATGTCTTAAGCACAACCATCAATAGGACCCAACTCGGTGACTTTTAAATATGACTACCACCCCTAGGGGTAGGAGACAGAGAATGGTTGCACTGAAAGTTAAAATCTGTCAAGATCCACGTTTCAGCACGGTTTTTACAAGACAGCTGTATGTTCTAGGAGCAAAGGCAAATAATTGTTTATTGTCTGCTCCCTTCTCTAAAGTTCCTGGAAGCAGAGACTTTTGTCTCTTTTGTTCACTCCTGATTCCCAGGGCCTAGAGCGGGGCTTGGCACATAGTAAGCACTCAATAAATGTTGAGTGCAATAAATATTGGGTTAAATGCATGAATGACCAACAACTGATAGTGTATCATCTGCCCCCTCTCCTCTCTAACCTTATAGGAACTCCCTGTCTCTCAAGCAAATCTTGATTAACCAGAAGGTGTGGACTGAGGGTTCTGTTTAACCAAATGTTGCATGTTTCTCAGCTCCCAGCCAACTTAGTACTCTACCTTGGCATCTCCTCCCTATCCCAGAATGTAAGCACCATAGGGGAGAAGACAATCCTCCTCCTGCCACCACCCACAGAAACCCCAAGCCCAGGCGTATCCCCAGCTCTGACCAACCCTCCCCAAATCTTTGCCCCAAGAGATGCCCAGCCCCAGTCCAGCGTCAGCCCTTCTGCCTCTGTCAAGCTTTGAGGGAATCCCAGAAGTGCCCAACTACAACTCCCAGAGTGCTCCTGGCCTCGAGAGGGGGAGGACTTCCTGGTTCAGCCCCTCAGCCGATTTCCCCCTGCATTCCTGTAACCTTCCATCCACCAGAGAGGCTGCCAGCCAGCACGCCCCCAGAGATTATACCCTGACCAAAGAGGTGTCAGGTTGTACATTGTTTCCAGAGCCAACACTCCCACCCCTCTTCCCAGCTCTGGCTTTTCTCTTCCTGGGGATTGAGGACAATGGCCCCTGGGGACTTTCCCAGGACCCCTCCTCTGTGATCTGCCCCTTCCTCCAGGAAGTCTGTCCTGATTTGGCAGCTCTACCCAATAGAACTTTCTGCAATGATGGAGATGTTTTATATCTATCCTGCCCAACATTAGCCACAGTTGACTGCTGAGCACTTGAAATGCTGCCAGTGGGACTGAGGAACTGAATTTTAAATTGTATTTAATTTTAATTAATTTAAATCTAAATAGCCACATGTGGCTACGGCGACCATATTGTGCATATAGTTCTAGAACTCACACACTTCTTGGCAAAGACCATATCCATGCATTTTCATTAGTTCATACTTACCCATTTTGTCTCTCTTGTAACTTGCCTGCTTCTTGAGGGTGAGGGCCAGTATATTCTTTGAAATGTTTTCCCTTACCACCAGGCCTTCGCCCATGCTGTGCCCTCTGTCTGGAACACTTCACCCTTCACCTGCCCGTCATCTGTGACAACTACATATCCTTCGGATCTTTATTTTTTTTTTAAAGATTTTATTTATTTATTTGAGAGAGAGAGAGAGCACATGAGAGGGGGGAGGGTCAGAGGGAGAAGCAGACTCCCCGCCAAGTGGGGAGCCTGATGTGGGACTCGATCCCAGGACTCCAGGATCATGACCTGAACCGAAGGCAGTCGCCCAACCAACTGAGCCACCCAGGTGCCCCTCCTTCAGATCTTTAACATCACCTCCCCTGAGAAGCCACCTCTGATTACCATGCCTGATTACCATACTGTGGCCTCTAAGTCTTCCACCCACCACTAAAGCACTAATCACACCGTAGTGCCCAATCACTTCCCCATCTTACTTTCTAGACTATGAACTCCTTGGGAGCAGAGACTAGCACAAAGTTGACAATAAATATCCAGGGAATTCAGTGTTGAATAACTGGTGTCCCACGACGCGATCCAGCGCCTGGTTCACAGCAACGATAGCATATGTTGAGCCAAGTACTTTGCTGTGCTGTCTCCCTAAGTGCCATAGCGATCCTATTAGAGATCCTCTATTATTATCTACCGTTTACAGACTCGGCATCTGAAGCTCAGAAAGGCAAAGTAAATCACTTGAGGTCACACAGCTAGAGTATCTCAGTCTGGGTTCCCAAGGCAAAAGTCACTTGCTCATGCTTTATTGGGGGACGGAGTCCCAGCCCCACCAAAGTGAAGGAAAGGGACACTAAGGCAGGGAAAGAGCGTGAGCCAACACAACATGTGCCTTACAGGGTTGGCCGCAGCTGCTCCTGGAAACACAGCCGGGAGTCCCAGCACTCGGGGCATCTCCAGAGGAGCCATGAGAACTACTGCAGGGATGGAAGGCACAGCCCAGCTCCTGTCCGCCTTTAGTCACGGGTGGGTCAAGCTGCTCCTCGCTTCTGGCTTGTGTCACCTGCGCCTCCCAGCAGCCACGAGGGAAGCCAGTTCTAGAAGAAGAGGCACTAGAGCCCCCCCCGCCCCCCCGCTACCTCCAAGAGTCCGGGCCCGGCAGCTGGGATGACAGACAGCTGGGGATCTGGGAAGGCTGGTCCAACCCTCAGGCCACGTCCCTGCAGGCTGAGCTGGCCCAGTGGCTGCAGCAAGTGACCTGGGCCACCTGCAGGGGGAGGCGAGCCGAAGCTGGAGCGCGGCCAGCGCAGCTGGGTGGCTGGGAAGGACGCAGCGGAGCGCACCTGAAAAGGTGCATCTGTCAAGCCTGAGACCGCCGGTAACCATCAGAACTGGGATTCAGATCCAGTTCGGACCAACTCCAAAGCCCTTCAGCAAATATTGATGGAAAGAAACAAATGAAGAACTGGATGACTGAGTGAGTGGAAAAATCCCTAGCAATAATCCACTCCAGATGCCCCCATTTTACAGGTAAAGAAACTGAGGTCCACAGAGGCGGAGTTGCCCTGACCAAGGTCACACCAAGTGCAGGTGGCAGGGCTGGGACCTGCGTCTCAGCCTCAGGCCTCACTCATGTTTCCTGCACTTAACTTCCTGGACCGTCCTGCTTCCTCAGCGCCAGCTGCTGTGGGCTCATTTGTCATGGCAGCATTCATAGCCAGCATCAGGGCGATGTCTCTAGTTCTCACCTGCCCAGCATCCATCCCCCGTCCTCAGCTAACCTCGGTTTTCCTCCTGGAAACCACCCCATCCCCCACCTGTAGTCCATATAGTTCCAGTGGGGTGAACCTTGGGACCTGCCTACCCTATCCCCAGTCCCCAACCCTGAACCCCCAATCCTAGGGCACAGGACTTAGGTCTGGCCAATCAGAACATCGCATCTTGCTGGCCACAATAATTGGTTCGTGGTGGGGGCATGTGACCTGAGCTTCTCCCTTGAGAGTTCGTCACAACATTTGCAGCAACTATGTGCAAAGAGAAGCTTTCTTTTCTTGG